AGGAAGTAGGGCTCGGGAAAACCTGCAGAGGGGGACGGGAAGTAGCTTAGTCACATGACCTTCTTTGAGTCCCATAATCCAGGGCGCGGCCATATTTGCGCGTGCGTTCCGTAATACGGAAGCTGCGAGGAGCCGCTATTCCTTGTCTCGTGTTTTACCAAGCCTGAGATGAATAATGATTTCTACTTTCACTGCCGCCTGCTGGAGACCCACCGCGTTGCGCGGCGCTTTCCCATTCGTTTCTGTCCCTTCTGGGAAGGAGGGTGGCTTCTTAGACGTCGCCTTTGGACAGGATTCGAGTCATCAGGAAATGTCAAATAGTTTCTGCCCCTGAGCGTCTCTCGTCGAATGGTTTAGTGATCGCTGTCCGTACCTCTCAGGTCTCCAGAGCCTCCTCCACATGCTGTGTAACCCTGCAGGCCGTTGCAGCTGTCGCTTCTGGGAAGCCTCCTCTGACCTTCCTCTGGGTAAGGGACCTCCTCTGGGATCCAAGGCTGACCTCTCTTTCCCCCCATCAAGACTGTGAGACCCTCAAAGGTGGGGTCTGTATCTCATGGATCCTCCTAGCGCTGCGCGGGTCTGGTCCAAGAGGACTCTTTTAAGCAGGCATTCTACAACTGCCTGTCTATACTATACGGTGGGCTCTGTGTTTGGCATTTCAGACTTATCAGTGAACAAGATGCAGACCCTGCCCTCCTGGAGTCCACAGTTTGGGGAGCTAGAAAGCTAACCACAATAGTGGTAAGTGCTATTGAGGATGCCAAAATGATGATGTGTCTTTTAGGTAGGGGTGGATGGAGGGGGAGGTGGCCTTATTTGAAGCGACAGGTGATTGGGGAAGACGCCAAGGAGGTGACATTTGAGCCAAGGCCAGAAAAGCCCCTTACATGAGGATTTGGGGAGGCCTTTATCCACCATCCCCCAATGGGAAAGAGAACTGGCAGTGCAAAGGCCCTGAGGCCAGAGATTAGCCCACTTGATTGGAGAAAGAGAACATCCTCCTTGACATCTTTGACAGTCCCCAGTTGGATCTCACTCTTCAGTTCCCACTCCTCCTAACCCTGATCTCCCTGCAGTCTTCCACAGCTCATCAAAGAGCCCTCAGCTCAGCAAATAAGCCCTCCGTGCAGCTAATAGGCTCAACACTGGAGAATTGAACTTAATGTCTTTCCTTCTCTCACACTCACACTCATCCCTCAGCACCTCCACCAAGTTCTACCCACAAAATGGGTCCCAAATCCAGGTGCCTTTTCTTATTGTTAGAATTTGACATTCTGTTAGTTTCAGATGTACAACATTATGATTGGGTGTTTGTATCCAGGTCCTTCTCTCCATTCTCAAATCCTCCACGCTGGGTTGCCTTCCCTCCAAACCATCTCCCTGCTGTGGTCAGAGAGCTCAATACACAGAAACCAGAAATATCGTTCCTTTTTAAAACTCTCTTATGCTGGCTTCTCCCTAGGAGTAAAATCCAAGGTCTTCACCGTGGCCTGTGAATGTGCCTGCTTACTTTCCTGCCCTCATCTCCCACCACTTGTCCTCAATTCCTTCCTCTCTGGTTACATCGGCCTCCTCGCTGTCCTAGAACCCACCAAGCTCGTTTCCTGACCTTTGACGTACCCGCTGCTCCTTCTGCCTAGAATACCTCTTTTCCAGCTCCTCCTCTGAATCTCTGTCTAAATATTACCTCGTCCAAGAGGCCTGCTCTGACCACCTGACTCCCCACTTACCTTGCTCGTCATTCTCTTTCATTTTGTCTGCTGTTGTCTGTCCCTCCCTGATGACAGCGGCCGCTCTGTGCAGGCAGGATTGTCTGGGCTCGCCGCTGTTTCTCTTACTCTGTGCAGTGATCGCATACTATGATCTCAGCAAATATGCTGAATGAATCAGTGAGCCCACACAGGGGCATCAGAGTGATCCGGGAATCCAGGAATGAAGGAGGGAAAAGGGTCAATAAATGAACTCAGGGACGCCTGGCTGGCTCTGTCAGTGGAGCTTGTGAGTCCAGATCTCGAGGTTGTGAGTTTGAGCCCCACACTGGGTGTAGAGATTACTTAAAGATAAAATCTGTAAAAGAAAAAAAAAGTAAATTCAGAACAGGTAGAAGGTGCCAGAGCAGACAGAGCCCTCTGGGCAGTAGTAAGGAAGATGGCTTTAAAAAGGCTGGGAAACGATTGGAGAGTTTTAAGATTTTTTAATTTATTTGTCAGAGAGACAGAGAGCACACAGGCAGGGGGAGTGGCAGGCAGAGGGAGAAGCAGGCTCCCCACTGAGCAAGGAGCCAGATGCAGGACTTGATCCCAGGCCCCTGGGATCATGACCTTAGCCAAAGGCAGATGCTTAACTGACTGAGCCACCCAGGCGTCCCAACCATTAGAGAGTTTTTACTTCCCCCAACTTTAAAAAAAAAAACTTTTATTTTTGAGTAAGCTCTACACACAACATGGGGCTCAAACTCACAACCCCGAGATCAAGAGGCAGCCAAGCCCTCCACCAACTTTTTTTTTATTGTAGTAAAACTTATATAACATAAAATTTATTATCACATTTATTAATTTTATTCAAGTATACGGTTCTATGGCATTAGGCACATTTACACTGTTGTACAGACATTGCCACTGTCCATCTCTACAATGTTTTCATCATCCCAAACTGAAACTCTGTCCCCCTCCCCCAGCCACCCACCATCTACTTCCTGTCTCTGGATTTGACATCCCTAGGGATGTCATGTAGACGGGATCATACCTTATCAGTCATTTTCTGACTGGCTTATTTCACTTAACATATGCCTTCAAGGGTTTTCCATGTTGTAATGTGATTTGTTTTTCACCAGACCCCACTGGCTGCCTCGAGGAGAAAACAGGGGGTGTGGGGAAAGGCAGGGCAGGGGAGATGAGGAGGAGGCGCCTGTGCTGGTCCAGGCCAGCAGAGGTGGGAGCAGGACCTGGGACATGCCAACGGACGTGGAGAAACATGACCAGATTGGGAAGCTAATTTGAAGTTGATCTGATGGCTCCTAAGAAAGGCTCAGACGTGGGGACACCAGAAAGAGAGGGTCAAAGGAGTTGAAGATGTGGGCCAGGGCATTTGAGCAGATGGTAGTGAACTGGGGGCAGAAGGTCTTGGGGGAAGACAATCCCGAGTCCAGCTTTGGCTGAGCTAGGCGAGAGACCCCTGAGACCCCAGTGTGACAGACTGAGGAGGCAGTAGGCTCTTCGGGTGGATTTGAGATCAGGGAAAGCTTTGGGATGGGGACAGAAGGAGCCATCAGCATAAGCAAGTAGACAGAGTTCTCTGTGGATAAGATCCCGGCTGGTGAGTGTAGACAGGGGAGAGACAGGGCTTCACCTGAGCCAAGGTACACTCTGTATGTGGTGGGGGGTGGGGGGCAGAGGCCGGCAAAGGAGGAGCGTTGGGGCCCATCGGCAGAGGATCAAGCAGGTCAGTGAGAAGCCAGGGCCCCATGCTCCCCCAGCGAAGGTGACACGTGACACCAGGGCAGCCACTGGGCCCCCTGGGGCAGGGACCCCCTCAGCTGAGCCAGCTGCTGCCGCTGGTGACATTTCACTCCATGAGTGTCCTGGCTTCAAAGTCTCTGCAGGGGTGGGGGAGGGATCGGAGGGGGCTGGAGAGGCCGGGCTGGCCAGGGAGGGAGCCAGAGCTGGGCTGCTGGAGGACTGAGCAGTCAGGAATCAGCTGCAGTCCTGCTGAAGTACGTGGTCCTGACGGGTCGGGGACCCGCCACCCCCTTCCCACAGCCCCCAGGGGGACACAGGAGGTGGCTAGGGGACTCTCAGGTAGCCGTACGGCTGAGTCTGGAATCGAGCCCACTGCCCGTGACCCCGCTCACTTTCCTGCAGATGTCTGGCAAGGTGGCCATTGGCAGTGACATCGGGCAGGCCCGCCGGGCCGTGGAGCAGCTGCGGATGGAGGCAGGCATCGAGCGCGTGAAGGTGAGGGCCAGGGTGGTGGCACGGGCGTGTCTGGGCGAGGGGGCAGGCGGGCAGCCGGGGCCTGGCTGACCAGGCTGGCCTGCAGGTGTCCAAGGCGGCTTCTGACCTGCTGCAGTTCTGCATGGAGCAGGCCAAGAGCGACCCCTTCCTCGTGGGCATCCCCGCTGCCACCAACCCCTTCAAGGAGAAGAAGCCCTGCACCATCCTGTGACCTCCACGTCCCCGACCACCCGGGAGGCCGCAATAAACATGAAGTGAGGGATTCCCCAGGATGTGGCTTGGCCAGGCTTCAGTGGGGGCGGAGGGGGGCCGTGCTGGGAGCTGCCTGTGCATCTAGCGCAACCCCCATCCCCCGCTGGCTCTAGGGTCTTGGCCCCAGCAGCACACACGTCCTGCACCCCCAGAAGGACAGCACAAACCTCCTCCGCCCCTCTCTGCCCCCCCGCACCCGTGGGGTGGCCTCAGCAGATCCCCTTGCCCACCGCACAAACGCGCCCAGGGTAAGAGTCCCAGTCTGAGTGCCAACATGCATCACACACACACACACACGTGCCATTACACAAACATGTGCACACCCTTGAGAGCCTCCCCCTCCTCACACACACCCACATCCACTGGCCCACAGACAAGCGTAGACAAGGTCATTGTTACGACACTCACAGCCAGACCTGCCTCCCCCGCGACACAGACTGTCTCCCAGACGGTCACACACCCAGTGGCGCCTCCCAGTCCCAAGCAAGCACAGGCAGGGCCCTCGAGGGACACCAGTACATCAGGTTTATTTCTCCTTCGCTCTGGAAGGAAAGCAGGTATCCAAATCCTAACAAAAACAGGGCCCCAGGGAGGAGAGCAGTCCCCTGGGTGGGCCTGAATACCAGGCTCACCTCCCCTGGCGTGGGCCACGGCCCGTGGGGCACAGCTCACCACGGCCCAGACTCCTTGTGCCTCAGGGCTTCGGGACAGGGCAGGGGCAGCACCAGCACAGGGGGGACGGTCCCCCAAGAACAGAGGCCACAGCCCAGCCTGTGGGCTGGCAGATCCACGTCCGCATCCTCCTGCTCAGGCCTGCAGCCTCCAGACCTCCAGTGACAGGCCCCCAGAGGCAGCGACCACCAGGTTGCCCTCTGCGCAGATCTGGGGATGCAGGGCAGAGGGAGTCAGGGGCGCTCTGGGCACCTGGGCAAGGCGCAGGGGGCAGGGCCTTACCCCATTCAGCACGTTGTTGTGGCTTCGGGTGCAGATGGTCCTCGGTGGGTCCGTAGGCACGTGCACCTGGGGAGGAGGGGCAGCGGGCAAAGGTCTGGCCATGCGCTGCTGGCTGGTGGGGGCAGGGTAAGGGAGGGGGGGCCTGTCTCGGGGGCTCACCCGGATGGTCTTGTCGGTGGATGTGGTGTACAAGGCCCCCAGTGAGTGTTTGATCCCTGTGATCTGAGACCTGTGGCCCACGTCAAAAGACTGCAGGAAGGAGGGACAGGGAACACTCAGGGAAGGCCTTGCCCAGGGTCAGCCCGCCAGCTGCCCAGGGGGTCAGGAGGTAGGGAGGAGGCCCAGGGACTGTTGGGCAGGGGCCAGCTCCCTGGCAGACCCGGACGAGCTGGAAGCGGCCGCTGTAGTTGGCGAAGACGTGCAGCAGGCCCTGGTTGTCACCAGCCCAGAGCTGGGGCTCCTGGTAGGACATGCAGAGCAGGTAGGAGTCCAGCTGTGGGACGAATGCGGGACAGAGCAGCTCAGGCCGGGCCAAGCCACCACCCCATGCCCGGTCCCTGCGGGTCCCCTGGGGAGGGTCCACCTGCAGCCGCTGCAGGACGCTGTTGGCCCTGCGGTCGAACACCACGAGCGTGTGGTCCTCGCTGCCCGAGATGATGTGCCGGTCGTCAGCCAGCAGCGCCAGCACCGCACTGGAGTGCAGCCGTCGGCTCTTCAGCAGGGCCGGGCCGACTTCGGGAGTGATGCAGCGAGGAGGGAGACATCAGAGCCCCTGCCCCCCACCCCCTGCCCGTCCCTATCCCGCTTGGCACAACCCTTGGTCTGCTCTGCCTGCCCCCATCCCGTCTCTCTCCTCTCTTGTCCCAGCAAGGTCTGGGGCCATCCAGGGCCCCCAGATCTCAGCCCTCCCAGCCCCCAGCCCAGTCCCATCTGCTCTCAGTACCTAGCCGACCTCAGCGAGTTCCCACGGAAAATGCTTCCGCTCCCAGGCGGGTCTGAGCGAAGCCCCACTCCCATGACCGGGCCCCCCGCCTCTGGCCCCACCTGGGAAAAGACCCCTAGGCCTACAATTAAAATAAGAATGAATAAAGAAAGAAACAACAGAAAAGGCTCTGGTGCTGGGCAGTGTTTTCCTAGGCTTTTTATGTAAGCTAGTATTTAATCCACCAATGTTCCTACTGTCCTCTCCTCCTATAAACCCTGTGGGGTTGGGGTTATTATCCAGATCTTACAGACGGGGACATTGAGGTTCAAGCTTGACAGCTAGGACGTGGGGGAGTCAGGGTTCTAAGGGCTGCTCCACCTCCCACAGTATTGAGGCTCAGAGGATCTCCCGCCCTCCAGACACCCCAGGTGGAGGGGGCTGCCTCTGCCCCCAACACCCATCCCCCGCCAGCTGCCTCTGCTGGCCCAGCCACAGCACGGGCCACTCGGAGTGGTCAGCATCTGGTTGAGACTGTCATCCCAGCCTGGCTGTGAGGCCCTCCTCTCCCCACCTGGGTCCCCGGGCCCCCGGCCCACCTCTGGGGTCGTAGACGGTCACCTTCTTGTCATAGGTGCCAGTCACCAGGATGTCAGGCCGGTAGGACAAGCACAGCACAGCCGCCTTGCCCCTGGGAACACACAGAGCCCGAGGCTTGGGCTGTGACTGGCTGGGACCCAGCCCAGCCCCGCCTCCCCGCCCAGGACCCCACACACTTGATCTCGCCGAACTGCTGCCCATCAGCTGCCATGTCCCAGAGCTTCACCGTGCTGTCCCAGGAACCAGAGCACACGCGGTGGTCCAGCGCTGCCAGCGACCACACCCAACCCTGCAGACCAGATCCAGTGGTCACCCCCATTCCAAAGGTAACAAAACCAAGGGTTGGAGGAGGGAGACAACTGACCCCAGAAGCCAGAGCAAGGCAGCTCCAAGTAGAGGTCAGGACTTAGGTCGGTGGGTCTGTCTGACTTCAGAACCCGGGAGGTGCACACCCACATAGAATGATACTCCTAAGTCCAGTCCCTGCCACATAGAATGATACTCCTAAGTCCAGAACCCCACCTGGATCCCTGACTCAGCACCTGTGGTGGTTTGGGGCCACGTAACAAGTCGATTAAAAGTGGGGCCTCCACTCCATGACTGGAGCAAATGAAGTGCTCTCCCTCAGTTTCTTCACTGGGAAAATGGGCACCAAAAAACAGCGCCTGCCTTGGGAGCTAATAGGCACAAATCACTGGCTGGTGGCTAACCCATTCCTCACCAAACTCCCTGAGGAGAGTGCTGTAATGCTACAAACGAGGACACTGGAGCACAGAGAGGTTGTGTCTCTTGCCCAAGGTAACACAGCCAGGGAGTAGCAGAATAGGGATTTGAACCCAGTGGCCTAGCTCCGGCACCAAGCTCTTGGCCACCTGCCTACACCACCTCGGTGACTGGTGGCAGTGGTTTTCCTCCACAGCGGCCTCTCATGAGATGACCGCCATGCTCAGAGCTTTTCGAGCCTCACAGGCAGCCTCGTAACTGCCCCGCCCTATGCCTCTCAAGGTATACCTGATGTCCCCCCAGTGCCTGCTGTGTATCCCAGCCCAGGCGAAGCTCTACGGCATAGTCATCTCATTCATGCTCATCCTAAACGAGCCCTAGACACAAGTAGAAATGGAGGCCGAGAGAAGTCCCACATCTCACCCAATGTCACAATAGTCATGGCAGAGCAAGATTTAAATCCACAACGTCTGGTGCCGAAACTCCTGCCCTTAACCATGGCACCCTACTCAGGCCCCACCCCTCCATCCCCTGTCTGGCCTCCTAACCCCTCACCTTGTGGGTGCTGTTCTTCTCGGAGCCCAAGGCCTTGACTAGAACCTGGCTGGGTTCCACCCCCAGCTGCCGCAGGTCCCACAGATTGACATTGCGATCTCGGGAGCCCGACAGACAGAACGCACCGCCCTGAGAAGAGAACAAGGTGGTGGTGTCAGAATCACCCTGGCTCAGCCCTGCCTGCCCCCCACTGAGCCCCACCTCACCTGGAGCAGCAGCACCGAGTCAATGGAAGCAAAGTGCCCATCAGCCAAACAGAAGTACTCAGCCCAGCGCCCATCCTCCGCCCAGCGTGACAGGTGCTGCTCCAGCTCGATGCAGGCTGTCGGCCAGTCAAAGTCCTTCTCTGTGGGGCATCGTGAGCAGGGTCCCCAATGGGCAGGAATTCTGACATCCACAGCAGCTGTCCAAGCCCACCCCTGGCTTCCAGGAAGCCCAACCTTCACCAGACTTGGAGAGAACCCCACCTGGATCCCTGACCCCACCCAAGAAGGCCTAGAATCTAGCTTTGGGACCACCAGCCACCCACCTTCCAAGCAGGCTTAGGACTACTCACCCCAGTTTCCAAAAATAGAGTAACTAGAGCCTCAGGACCATCTTTGCAGGTCTCAACCCCCAACCCAAGTGTGGAGGACAGTAGCCTCAGGATGTTAAGGTCCTGCCTCAACCCTCAGGCAAGGCATCAGAACTAGGACATTTTGCCTCCACGATTTCAACCAAATCCAGGGAAGTGTTCTCAGATTAGTTTCTGTAAACGTGGGAACCTTGTCAAGATGTAGAACTCAAGGGCTAGATGCAGAGATTCAGTGGCATAATGGGGCTCAACCAACTATGTTTATCAGGCTGTTCAGGAAAGCCCCATCAGTTCAAGCTGACCAAGCTGTCTTATCCCCCAGGTATCAGTGACCTCAGGGACAGGAGGAATTACTACCAGCCCCCAGCCTAGGTTAGACCCTGGGCTTGAGGATTCATCTGCGATTGCTAGTAGCAGGGATCCTAACCTCTAAGATGTGGCTTGATTTAAAGGTTGCAGGCTCGGGGCCTTTAGTCCCTGCCCCATCCCTACCTAGATCAAGACTGTAAGGGTGGGGAGCTTTGACATCACCAATTGCTAGCTCAGCATCTATACCCAGAGGATTCTTGGCCTTACCCCGAACCCCAAGAGATTCCAATTGCTAAGACTTCAAGTCCCTGTGTCAACCCCCAGCCAGGGTTCAGGTCCGTGGTACCATCAGACCCCAAGCCTAAGGCTCATTGGATCCTGAGTTCAGGGACCCCAGCCCCCCAAGGTAGATTTCCACAGCCCCAGGAGCCCCAGCGCCTAGCTCATGGTGCACCAAGAGGTCAGGGGCTTTGGCACCATCGATAACTACCTCAGCTTCCACCCAAGCCAGGACCACCAGGAATCGTGCTTCAAGGCGGTGCTCACAGCACCCCAGCCTAACCTGGGCAGCTGACCCCGGCCCCCAGGCGCGCGCACCTTCCACCACTGGGTAGGGCGCGCGCACGCGGCGCTGCGCGCGTAGCCTCCAGGTGACTTGGTCACGCACGAGGTCGCGCAGCGTGTGGCACACGCGTGGCAGGACGTGGAGCACCAGGCGCGCGTCTAGGTAGGCGCAGATCTCGAGCAGCAGCTCCGGAGGAAGGCTCAGCAGTCCCGGGACCCCCACGGGCGCACCCTTGGACGCCGCCCGCGGCTCCAGGGCGCCAGGGGATGCGACGGGCGCGGACATTGGCAAAGGGGCGCGTGGGGGCCCCTCTCCGACTTTCGGCGGACTGAGCACTCGGGCCACGTAAGCCTCGGCCTGCGCGTCGGGGTCGGGCTCGGACTCCGGGTCCGAGTCATCTTCCCAGGCGCGGGGATCGTCTCGCGGCCCTGGGGGCAGCTCCATGGCGACCGAGGTGGGCGCGGCCAGCCGGGCCCTGTCAGCCGAGGGCCCGCGTCCCGTCTCCTAGGCAGCGCAAAGGCACTTCCGGCGCCGCTTGATGACGTGTCGGCGCTGGCGCTGACCGGAAGCGAACGCTACGCGCGGGAACAGGCCGGGTTTTAGAATCCCGCTGTTCTGAGGGCTTCGGTGGTGCAGCTGCTGCAGCCTTGGGCTAGAAAATGCCTATTCCTGTTTCTAGCGTTTGTTAAAAAGGCATCTGTGGGGGGCGCCTGGGTGGCTCAGTGGGTTAAAGCCTCTGCTTTCGGCTCGGGTCGTGATCCCAGGGTCCTGGGATCGAGCCCCACATCGGGCTCTCTGCTCCGCGGAGAGCCTGCTTCCTCCTCTCTCTCCCTGCCTACCTCTCTTGACTACCTGTAATCTCTGTCAAATAAATAAATAAAATCTTAAAAAACAAAAAAAGGCATCTGTGGCGGTGCTGATGCGGACGGGCGGCTGAGCCTGGTTGGAAGCGGTTCTGTCCAAAGCACCTCTCACAGGTGGCACTGAGCTTAGAAATGCAGCCCCTGAGTTGAGGCTAAACCGTAGCGGGATTCCAACTCCTTCCGGAGACAGAAACGTGCAGCTGTACTGCAGGGGCTTCAAGTTCTCTGAATTATCTACAATTGCCCTTATCTCTCATTTATGGAAAGCGTCTCTTAAGCCAGGCAGTATTAACCGATCCATGTAAATGTCTCAGAGCATTGCTGTTCAGCCTCTTTGGATATCCACATGGCTCTTTGCTCAGCTATCACCTTCGCAATGAGGCCTTCTCAGAGTATCCTACTGTAAAGCTGACCATCTTACCAACGTTCTCTCTCCCCTCCCAACTTTTTCTCTATGGGACATACCAGTGTTCCGCAGTTTATCTCCTATTCGCTCACCAGAATGTACAACACGTTTGTTGAATGAATGCTGGGTGTATGTCAATGTCAGGTTTTTGTTTCTTTTCCTAAGTCCATGCAGGTGACCTTTGGCAAGGTTGAAGTAGCAGCAAGATTTTACTGAGGCTGTGTGTCCCAAGAACTTAGCAATTCTCATTTGCCTCTGTAATGCCGCTCACACTTACTACACCTCCCACAGGCCAAGTGCCAAGCTTAGCTTCCTACAAAACTGTCCAACCTGCCCAGTGACCCAGAGTTGCGAGGCTAACCAAAGATGAGGGTGCCACAAGACTGCCCCTTAATTTAGTGTAAGGCGATGGGATCTTGAACCTGGGCTGTAACACTAATGGCTCCCTTTTAAACTGAGCTCAAGACATTCCATGAGCTGTAATTCCGTTCCAGGGGACACCACACATGTGTATGTTACCACATCTAATCTTTTTCCTTCACATTCACCTTCCCATTTTACCGGGAAGAAAAGTGAGAGGCTTGGGATCCCAAGAAATGTGCCTGGGTAACATTTACTTATTTCCCTCCTCCCAAATTATTTCCTGAGTCCTGTGCATCCCCATTTCTAAGACATTCCAAGCCCCCCTCCACATCTTTTCTCTACTGCCAAAGCCAAGCATACAGGAGGCCAGAGAGAGACTAAGCGTTTCACAAGAAACTGATCTTTACTCAACAAAGTTCTACACAAGTGGAATCTCACGCCACCTTGGCGCCAATCCCCAGCACAGCACAGTAACAAATGGACAGACCCTGGAGCCCGTAGGAGGAAGAGGGTGAGGGGGAAGGAGGGATGTGGGACAAAGAGGGACTGCAGATCGAGGCCAGTCAGGATCCGCAGCCCTGGGCAGGGGAAAGGGTTGAGAAGCTGAAACTTCGTTGTGCAAAAATCAACCAAAAATAAATAAAAAAATTAAATAGTTTTCTTAAAAAAAAAAAGAAGAAAAAGAAGAGGAAGAAGAAAAGAAAGAAAACTAGAACCAGGCTCCCCTTCCCTGAAGGTGGCTGGAGCCCCCCATCCTGGGTGGAGAAGGGGTCATCAATCCCATCAGACACCCAATCCATCCACACACCCCAAGACCCAGCAGAGGATGCTCCAAAGAACTGGATTACCAGAAAATTAAATGGTACCTAATTTTTTTTTTCTTTTTTTAAACAAATGGCTTCCAGAGACCTGCTGGAGTTTCACAGGGTAGGGAAGCCAGCGGAGTTAATGGAATGTGCACCAAGTGCCCCTCGGAATAGAGGCAGGGCCCAACCTTGTCTGGGAAAGACAAAGGGCTATGATGGGGTTGGGTCCAGGGCCCTGTAGGGATGAACAGAACAAGCCCCGGGATGTAGGAATCCAGTCAAAGCCCCACATGACCCCCAAAAGGCCCCCCAGAAAAGTAAAAGTAGGGGAGGAGAAAAAGGAAAACAGTAAGGGGGCTGCAGGGCCCGGTTCAGTTTTGAGGCCAACTGGGAAGTAACCATGGCCCCTCTCTAGGGGTGCCTCCCACATGGTGACTGCATCCCCAGCCCATCCCAGAAGGTCCTCTAGAATCACTGTCCATGGAGTATTCTAGCCCACAGGGAGCTGTTGATGAACAGGAAGCCCCAGGGACAGAGAGTGGGGTTAAGAGGTGGACCACGTTCTCCTCCTCCAAAGGGCTCGATTTCCTTCTTGCTAGAACATAAGCTTTCATCCCTGATCCCATGGATTAAATGGCCCAGCCCCAGCCCTCAAGTTAAAACTCAGGCTGGAACCTGAGAAGAGGGCTCTCAAAAGCACAGAGAAATGGGCTGCCCTTGAAACCAACTTGGTTATGGAGAGATGCAGGGGTAGGGATCAGCAGCTCTGGCTGCCCCCAGCTCTCTTCAGGAAAAAGACCCTGGCCCAGTGTCTTCAGAAGTCACTGGGGCACAGTGGTGGTGGTGGTGGGTTGGGGTGGGGGTGGGGGGGGAGAAAGGGCAGCCTCTGGCCAGACCCAGCCCCTCTGGCAGTCCCCCGCTCTTCTGGCTGGGACAGAGCAAGGATGGGGGACACACAGGCTGCGGCTGTCACAGAGCTGGCAGGAAGTGTGCGGAGCAGGTCCCAAGCGTGCGCGTGCTGACTTGGGCGGCCCAGAGATGGCCGTCCTTGTCCCCCGCCCCAGGGTCCCAGCGGAGGCCCCCAACCCACCCAGCCCTCCCCAATCACCAATTCCAGCAAAACAGCAGAAGCTTCTTAAACTCTAGATGCAGGTTACACGGAAGGCCTTACGGGTTAACTCAGGGGTTCACTAATTCTACTGTCTCCATGCAGTCGGGGAAATGGTGGGGCGGCTGGCCCAGCCCGGCTGGCTGTGGCGCCGCACATGCGTGTGTCCACGTGTGCACATGTGAGTGGACGTGTCTCTACAAGGACCCCCCTCCCCGCCTGCTTTCCCCTCGCCTCATCCTAAGCCGGATTTGTTCGGCCGTGTTGAATCTTCCCTCCCGCGAGGCTGGCCCACGTGGGCTGCCTGAGGTGACCCCGATGGAGAGCAAAGGGCCCTTGCTGCCATGAAGTCCCCCCCCCTCCCATTTGTAGGATGAGTGTGGAGACCCCACCCACCTGCCCGCTGGCCGGCAGGCCACACACACACCCATGGCAGGTAGGTGGACGGGGAAGGCGTCTGGATTTGGGTCCCGCTCACTCCTCCCTAACCCCCCTCGACCAGGGCACGGCGACTTCTGGACGCAGCGCGCTCCCCAGCAACCCCTCCAACGACGCAGACAGAAACCTGTGGAGAGAGGTGGGGGTCAGGGCCTGCACTCTGCACCCCCCCACCCAACGCCAACGGCCCCCCGGCATGCGGCCTCCTCACCTGGCGGTCGTGATGCTCGTCTAGACCCCATAGAAGGCAGCCAGCCTCTCCTTGAGCAGAGGCGGGAACTGCTCTGAGAACTGCTGCCAGTTCTCCTCCCCAACTTGGTCTTTGAAGCCGTGGAGAATCTGCGGGGAAGCAGGAGGTGAGGCGCGCCCCGCAGCAGAGCCCTCTGAAGGCGGCCTCTCCCCTGGGAGGCTCCCCCTCCCTCCCCCCACCTCACCGCCCACTGCCTCCCAGGACAACATCAAGGCCAAACAGGAGCTCACCTTATAAAACATGTCCCGAAGGTCGTCCTTCGGGCTTACCCAGGAGGCTACAGCGTCGCAGAAGAAAATAAAGTCCTGAAACGTGACAGGTCCTGTGTGAGGGGCCGCCCGAGCCCAGCCCCAGCGCCTTCCCTCTGAGCCCGGCGGCCCCGACCTGCACGACGCCCCCGGGGTTGACGCCTATCATCATGCAGATGCCTCGGAAGGCTGAGTCCTTCTCCTCGTTGTCCCTGATATTCCTGAGGGACGTGCACCTGTGGGGGAGGTGAGCGGCAGGCAGTCAGCTGGCGGGGCTGGGGCAGGATGGGCATCTGTGGGGGGCAGTGGGGTCGGGGTGGCGGGTGGTGGTGGGTGGAGCGGGGGGTTCGGCAGGCGATGGGGCTGGGACGGGCATCCGGGGGCAGACACAGGCCTGGGAACGGGTCAGGCCCGCCCCGCCCGCCCCACCCGCCCTGCTGCCCAACCCGCCCGACGCAGGCCCGACTCGGGCTGGGGGAGGGGACACGGGAGGGATGGGGTGTCACACACCAGGGCCGGATGAACTGCTGCAGCATGGGGGCCACCTCCTGTGGGCACACGTAGCCCAGGCGGCCGATGGTGATGGCTGGAATGGCAGAGGGACTCGTCAGGCGACCTGCAACCCCGAGCGGCCCCGGGACGGTACGTGGCGGGGCCTCTGGCACGAGGCACCAGCCCCGCCCCGTGGGCCCCAAGGGAATAGGCCCCCCCAGGGTCTCCCCCACTGAGCCCAGCATCTTCCCTGGGGCTCTTCCAGAACCCCCTCTCGGGTCTTCCCAGACACCATCCCTGGTTCTTTCCCAAAGTCTCTTCACCGGTACCCTCCCGGCCGGGCAGCCCGAGTCCAGGTAAGGGAACGGCAACTGCTCAGGCCTGGTGCCCACCTGTGTTTTCTAGCAGCGTCTTGGGCGTGTTGGGCCGGTTGATGATCTCCACCAGGTTGTTGAGGACCATCTGCACGTAGGGCTGCATCTCCGCCCCTGGGGGACCCGTCAGTCAGAGCCCCGCGGAGCCCACAGCACCCCTGCTTATCCCCAGCTGTACCCAGACACTGGCCAACTACAACCAGTGAGGGGACAAAGAACATTCTCCAGCTGGTGCCCCGCTCAGGACCTATGACCATCCAGGGACGGACCCACACCTTCCAAACACCAGAAGCTTCCTTGGAGTCACTGTTCAACACCAGGGTCAGGCCACCATTACCCACAGATTCCCTGTGGGGGGAGGGGGAGGGAGGACATGGCCACAATCTCCCCAGCAATCACAGTGGGCCCTTCAGCCAACTGCACAGGGCGGGAGGCCACCAACAGTCCAAACAGAACCCACTGCCCATTCAGCCTCTTTGGAAAAACCAACCACGGGTGCCCTTTCAGCCATCCGGCCAGGATCCCGGAGAAAATGGACTCAGAGAAGTCTCCTTGCACGCCCCACCACAGAGGCACTCAAGAAGCCCCAGGGCTCTCTTATGTGGACCTGTCAGGCCGAGCCCGGGTCCAGCGCCCCGCGGGGAACAGGCCATGGAGTGAGGGGCGGGGACTGCCAGGGACTCACCCATCTGCATGCAGATCTCACCGATGGCCCAGGTGGCATTGTTGCAGACAGAGATGAACTCAGGGTTCAGGTTGGTGCCCAGAATGGGCATGAACTCGGCTGGTGGAGAGGAGGAGGAGTGCTGAGCAGGAGGGCCAGCCAGGGCGAGCTCCTGGACCCGGCCCGGCTGACCCCATCAGACAGTACGAATACGACCCAGTTTGGTCACTGTCCTCCCAAAGTCATTTCTTCATCACTTGAGGCCAGAGTTGGGGTCATGGGGTCATGAAAAGAGGGGCGTCCTACCGATACAGGGCTTGACGTGGATGAAGCAGGCTTTGGTGAGATCTCCCAGGAGGGCGAAGGAGCTCTGCCGGACCTCAGGCATGGAGTCCTGGGGGGGGGTCAGAGAAGGGTCAGTGTGGCCAGGCTCCGTGCCCCCCAACCAGCTGGGGTCCTGACTAGTCCCTCAGGGTAGAGCAGCTGGGGGAGCAGTCCCTGGGGCACAGCCTGACCCTGTCACTTCCCATCACGGGCCCCATCTGTAAAGCTGGGACTTAGGGCACACTGAACCACAGTATACCCCTGCCTCGCTCAGGGTACCACTAGGCAGGGAGCAGTCCCAGCCACTGCCCACCCTGACACACCGGGCGTGCGTATGTATAGAGCTAGGGGAGCTTCTGCTTTTGTATTTCTTCCACTTTTTTTTTTATGTCATGTCCTTGCCCAGGGTGGGGCTAGAACTCATAACCCTTACTGAGATCAAGAGTCACGTGCTCTACCGACTGAGCCGGCCAGGCGCCTCTCATTTTTCTTTTTAATTTTCTCTGTCATTAGCTTATTCAATGAGATTTGAGTCATGTCTTATTTGAATCACTTTTTAAAATAAAGACAAGCATGTTTCTCCCCTGTGGGTCCCCTCCTCCAGATGTCCACTCGGCACCCCAGGGCCTCGCGTCACCACAGGAGGCCTGCCCCGCCGCCAGCGGGCTCACAGGGTGGGGGTGAGGGGCCACCCACCTGCATGCACTGGAACAGCAGCGTCATGATGTTGCTGCGGGCCACCAGCTGTTCCACGTGGCCTCCCAGGCCCTCGGCCAGGCCGCTGAGCAGGTCCAGCGCCACAATCATGAAGTCCTTGTCGGGGGCCTCGTACTGCTCAGGGTGCTGGGTGTACATCTGGGCAAAGACGGGGCGGCCGGGCAGGTAAGGGGAGCGGGCCGGGGCCAGGGTAGCCGCAGAGGAGCACAGGGGCGGTGGAATGCTCACCATGGCCTGGGCCAGAGTCTTCTGCACCAGGGTGACGCAGCGCTGGTAGACGGGCTCGCAGTAGGGCAGGAAGCCGCTCTGCAGGGCAGTGGCCACCGACGACAGGCACTGTTCGGGAGGAGGGCAGGAGAGGTGAATTCGGGAAGAATGGGGCGGGGCTTTGGGAGCCAGCCAGGAGCCCACCCACCTCCAACAGAGGGAAGAGGTCCTTGTCTTCATCCTTGAGCTCGTTCCACTTCTGGATCAGCGGAGGCATCAGCTTCTGGATGTATTCCTGGAGAGGAAGCATGACGTTGGGGCTTCCTGGATGGGGGGGGGCAGCCTGGCACCAGCAGGGCTCCCTGTGACTCAGAGGCACCTACTGCCTGAGCAATGAGATCTGAGCTCCTTGCTGTGGCTCAGGGGGCCCTATGAGGCCCTGCCATCCAGCCAGACCTCCAGGGCCGGCTCAGCGGCTCCCTTTTCACTGTCCATGCCCCACCCGCCCCACTCCGCCCCCTCAGAGCCAGGGTCAGCCCCTCCTGGTTCCTGCAGGCCCCTGAGCTTCCCTAGCACAGCACTTACCACACTGTCTCGTAACTCTCTGTCTCCCCCACTAGACTGAGAGCAGGGCAAGGGCGGGGGCCAGATCTGTCTGCCTGTTGAGGTCACGGCCATGTCCCACTGGCAGCAGAGGAACACAGGGCTTGAGAGAGGGAGATGCTGTGGGGTCTCACCGGCTGGTTGAGGTGGTGGCCCACGGAGTCAGCCAGGGTGCCGATAGCATCGTAGAGGATGAGCAGGTTCTTGTGCTGGTACTTGCCGAAGGCGAAGACAAGGGTGTCCAGGATATAGCTGAGGTAGGGCACCAGCTCCGTGCAGGCCTCCTCCTCCAGGGTGGCAAAGGCACTGGAGTAGGGAAGGGATTTAGTGGGTGGCCACAGGTGGGGCTGGGCCTGTGGGCGACGGGAGGGGAAAGGGATGCCCTTGGGATCAGACAGTACGAATACGTAAGAAATCAGCATGATGTCAAGATCACGAGTGTCATCACTTCCCAGAAGGCCGCTGGTGGGGCAGGGGTGGGGGCCGAGGGGGCCGGGGGTCGAGGGTCACCTGCAGGCCGCCTCCTGCACCCTCTTGTTGCCATCCAGGATACGCTTGAGCAGCTCTGTCATCAGGGGCTTGAGGTGCATGTCGGGGGGCTGGCTGACCACCCAGTGGGCGTAGCGGCTCAGCGTCCAGCAGGCAATGGAGCGGACCAGGGCCTTCTTGTCCGACAGGCACTGGATGAGGTGCGGGATCAGCTCAGGCAGGTAGGGCACCATGCCCTGCATGCAGCCTGCAGGGATGGGCATGAGGGTAAGCCTGAGCCCCGCTGGAGCCGGCCACAGCCACCCTCCTGGGCAGAGCTCAGCAGCACCTATCGCGGGGGATGCCGAGGCTGGGAAAGCCAGGGTGGGAGGCGGCATCCGAATCTGCCTTTCCCCTCCGTTGGCGCCACCCTGGCATGGTCACTCACGGATTCACAGATGGCCAGGCAGCACAGTGACCAACATGGATGGAAGGTACTTTTCTCTCAATTTTTAAAATTTTATTTATTTTGGGGGGCACCTGGGTGGCTCAGTCATTAAGCGTCTGCCTTCAGCTCAGGTCATGATCCCAGGGTTCTGGGATCAAGCCCCACATCGGGCTTTCTGCTCAGCGGGAAGCCTGCTTCTCCCTCCCACTCCCCCTGCTTGTGTTCCCTCTCTCGTGGTGTCTCTCTCTGTCAAATAAATAAATAGAAATCTTAAAAAAAAAATTATTTTTTCATTTTATTTTTTAAGTAGGCTGCATGCCCAGCTTGGAGCCTAGTGCAGGGCTTGAACTCACAGCCCTGAGATTAAGGCCTGAGCTGAGATCAAGAGTCAGATGCTCGATCAACTGAGCCATGCAGGCGCCTCTTTCCTTTATTTTTTTTTTTAAAACTTAAGCAATACGGGGCGCCTGGGTGGCGCAGTGAGCTAAAGCCTCTGCCTTTGGCTCAGGTCATGATCTCAGGGTCCTGGGATCAAGCCTGGCATTGGGCTCTCTGCTCAGGAGGAAGCCTGCTTCCCCCCTCCCCCCGCCTGCCTCTCTGCCTACTTGTGATCTCTGTCAAATAAATAAATAAAATCTTTAAAAAAATAATAATAAAAAATAAATTTTTAAAATTTTATTTATTTTGGAGGGCGCCTGGGTGGCTCAGTGGGTTAAAGCCTCTGTCTTCGGCTCAGGTCATGATCCTGGGGTCCTGGGATGGAGTTCCACATCGGGCTCTCTGCTCAACAGAGCCTGCTTCCCACCCCTCCTCTGCCTGCCTCTCTGCCTACTTGCGATCTCTGTCAAATAAATAAAATCTTTAAAATAAGTAAATAAATTAAAATAAAAAAATAATAATAAAGTTAATAAATAAAAAACTTAGGCTCTACACCCAATGTGGGGCTCGAACTCTCGACACTAAGACCAAGAGTCACATGCTCCACTGACAACCAGCCAGGCACCCCAAGTACTTTTCTTCTGAAACATTTCTTAGATGTTTGTGAGTTTTCTACTTTTCATCTTTCGGAAAAAAAAAAAAAAAAACAAAACAAACAGGGGCGCCTGTGTGGCTCAGTCGGTTGAGTGTCTGCCTTCAGCTCTGGTCGTGGTCTCAGGGTCCTGGGATTGAGTTCCACATCAGTCTCTCTGCTCCCCATGGGGTCTGCTTCTCCCTCTCCTACTTCCTCTCCATGATCTCTTGATCTCGCTCTCCCTCAAGTTATGAAAACAAAAAAAACCAAAAAACTGTGAACGTAGCTCTTGTTCGGAGAACACAGGTAACAGCACACCACCTGATAATCCGAGACCCAAGATAATCTGAGACCCAAGGGTCAATTCCTCTATATTTTCTCCCATTAAAATCTTTTCCCAGAACCTTCAGGAAGCCCGTGAACATACGCACACGTGACGTTACCGTAACACACGCTGTGTTTATCATACAAGGAAACCTTTCCTTAACTAAATTTCAAAAGCTCGCCAGGGTGAAGGCTGCTGCTGCCTGGCCTGAACCTCGCACGACAGGCCTGGACGCTGCGGCGCCTGCTCCTGAGTGATGCGGGTAACACGCCCGCGGGCGGCCCGGGAAGCGGTGTGATGGTGTCAACCTCCCCCCGGCCCCGTTTCCCCATCTGCACACCCCCACCTCATCAGGAGGGCTGCCTGTTGTTACTGTTGTAGCCCTAACTGTGCCGACCCTCTCACAGAACTGCTGTTGGCAAGAATTAGAGGGAGGGTTTGCGTCGTGGCGCCTGGGGGTTCCATTCAGGCCCAGAGGCGGAGGGGAAGATTCCTGTCCCAGAGCTGTTTGGCGGGGACTGAGCAGGCCTCTGAGAGAGAGAAAGAACCTGCAGGTGGGCTCAGCCGGGCTCAGCCGGGCCCCACGGCTACACAGCACAGCCCGGCCCGGGCCAGCTCCAGAGTGCCGCGCCAGCACAGGGCTCGGGGTCAGGCCCTCCCACACCAGCCAGCGGGGCACTCACCCTCAGCGATGGCGCCCAGCACCAGGATGCCTGACTCTTTGACCACCCACTCAGGGTGGAAGAGGAGTCCCTTGAGCAGGGGGAGTAGGTGGGGCAGCAGCTCCTCCCGGAAGACATTGGCCAGGACGTCCAGCGCAGCTGCCGAGCACTTCCCTGGGACGGGAGGGGAGATGAGGAGGCAGGTTCAGGGAAGCCCTTTCGGACGGGCTGCCAGCCTCCTAGACTGTAGCCCCAGGATCAGAGATCATGTGAGCACCTTCACCATCTGCTCTGAGTAGGCCTCTCATCACCTCCCGAGAGAGGCAGCCCCTGGGCTTGCTGCCCTCCCCCACCCACCCAGCCCCCACAGGCCGGGCCACGCACTCAGATTCCAGTCAGACAAAGCATCGTCATCATCATCGTCCTCTGCGTCCTCCGAGCCATCGGGCCGCTCAGCCTCATGGGGCAGTGTCACTGTGCGGGACTTATGGAAACGTGGCTTGATGTCCTGCTCGCTGTCAGGGACTGCCTCGTCCTCCTCCACGTCCCCCTGTGGGGCCGGGCAGACCACTAAGCACCAGCGGGGCCCCCAGCCTCAATGCCCCGGCCCTCACCTGCCCGTTCATGCCCGACAGTGGGCCCTGACTGACCTTGAGCAGAATGATGTCGATTTCTGAGTATTTCATCCCATTCACCAGGATGGGGATCAACCTGTTGGGAGAGACGCTGCTCATCAAAGGGGAAACATTGAGCCAAGAAGCAATGTATGGAACTTAGGGGTATTATCCTGACCTAGTTTTAGCAGCTGGGACTGAGACAAAGTGGACACCACTCCTGGCTCCACAAGAGGGTTCCTGACCCAGACCTGGCCACTCAGGGAATTCTAGACCTCTGAATACACCAAAAAGCTTAGGACAGTGGCTGCTCCCTAGCATATTGTAAGGCAAGGAGGACTTAAGGCTCTTCCCCGGGATGGGCCATGTCAAACAAGCAAAGAGGCAGGGCAGCCAGTCTCCCCAGCTGGACTCCATGCACCTGGGGACTGGAAACTTTGATTCATGACTCGGCGATAGGCAAGTGATCCAAGTTAGTCAAGGAGGGTCAGCCCTAAGACTTGTGCTGCAGATACTAGCTGAGACAGAATTTCTTTCCTCTGAGGTCCCTAAGCTTGAAGGTAGCAGAAAGCCACAACACTACAAAGGAGGAAGGTCGGGCCTGATGACAAAGACAACACAGAGTGTATAGATCGGAGACCATATTGACGTCTTTTACATCCTTTGAGCACCAGGATCCAGCTATACCTGAAGCCTCTGTCAACTTTTCATTTTTTTCACCTGTAACTTACCTAATTTCTAAGTCATTAAAAACTACCATACTTGCTAAATAAACATATGCAGGGATAGAAAGTAAAAAGAGATAGAGAACACAGACTGAGGGTAACACAGGGGATAATCAGAGGGAAGGCAGAGCACAGCAAGGGACAGAGGCTGAGGCGGGGCAGAGGGCAGGAGTGGCACTCACTGGACCAGGTGGGAGGCCAGGACTTCCTTGCAGATGGGCTGCTCGGCCAGCGTCAGCCAGAACTCACAGGCCTCCAGGGCCACGTTCTCATCATGGTCCTGGGTCCTCTGCAGCATGTACTAGGGCAGAGTGGGAGAAAGGCTAAGGCCCGGTCCAGCCAGGGGTGCCTCCCCCAACCCGCCTGCCCCCCAGCACGTGTGCACCTGCCTGGCAGGGCTCACCTGGATAATGCTGTGCATGTGGGGGATGAGCCTGTCGATCCTCACTTCTAGCAGCATCACCAGGGCACGGCACACGTTCTTCCGCACCTCAGGGTCATCGTCCACGGCCAGGGCGAACAGGTGCTGCAGGGAAGGTGGGATCAGCGACAGCATGGCCCTCGGCCCTTGCCCTGCTCACCCCCAGCCCGGCAGCCCACCTCGATGAACGTGTCGATGTTGTCCATCAGCGCCTGGGCCCGGTCCATGATGAACTGGTTCACGCAGGCGATGGCATGGGACCTGGCAGGGAGCGGGCACCTGGTCAACCCTGACCACGCCCCCTCCAGACCACGCCCCCTCCAGACCCCTCCCAACCCGGGGAGTGGCACTCACCGGATCTTTGGGCTGCAGTGCTTGAAGAACTGTAAGAACTTGGGGATCATGATGTTGAGCGGCCTATTGAGGGCATCACTGTCCAGGAGCTCAGATGAGTCTTCGCAGATCTTCTGCAGGGCTCCGAAGGCTCCCTGAGCAGAGAGGAGTAGGCAAACAGCTGTGAACCCCGGTCCCGTCCCAGCTCCCACCCAGGTGGGCCACAGCTGGTCACCTACCTCGCAGGTGTTATAATCCTCCGAGTTGAGGAGGTTGCACAGCTGGGGCAGCAGCTCAGGCCACATCTGCAGCTCGCCCTTGGAAGCGATGGTGGTGATGAGAATGCCTGCGGCAGCCGGGAAAGGACGCTGCCTCAGGCTGGGTGCTGGGTGCGGGCCCGCCGCGCACTCGCTTCTCGGGCTCACAGGCTGTCTGTGTGCAGTCCCCCAGAAGCCCTACCCACTCCTTTCGAGGTCCTCTGAGCCTTACTGTAAGCCAGCTCCGCTGCAGGCTCTGGGATGCAGCACAGAACTAAACGCAAAATCCCTGCTATTGGGAGCTATCTAGTGAGAGAGGTTTCAAGGTAAAAATAAATCAGCAAGGGGCACCTGGGTGGCTCAGTCATTAAGCATCTGCCTTCAGCTCAGGTCATGATCCCAGTGTGCTGGGATCGAGCCCCGCACCGGCTCCCTGCTCGGCAGGAAGCCTGCTTCTCCCTCTCCCACACCCCCTACTTCTGTTCCCTCTCGCTGTCTCTCTGTCAAAAAAATAAATAAAATCTTGGGGTGCCTGGGTGGCTCAGTGGGTTAAAGCCTCTGCCTTTGGCTCAGGTCATGATCCCAGGGTCCTGGGATGGAGCCCCACATGGGGCTCTCTGCCTGCTTCTCTGCCTACTTGCAATCTCCGTCTGTCAAGTAAATAAGTAAAATCTTTTAATTATATATATATATGTATGTGTATATACATATATACATATACATACATATATATGTACGTATATATATACATATATATAATCTGTTTTTTAAAAAGTTAACAAATATAAAAATCAATCAGCAAAAGACCTGGGAGGCTAGGCGCCGAAAGCTAAGGGGGGTGCGTAGTAAAGCAGAAAAGACACAGGCAACGGCTGAGGTTGAGGGCGGCAATTTTTTTTTTTTTAAGTTTATTTATGTTTTTATTTTTTCAGTAACCTCTACACCCAGCGTGGGGCTTGAACTTATGATCTCGAGATTGAGAGTCCCCGGCTCCTCTGACCAAATCAGCCAGTCGCCCCATTTTAAAAATGGGTGGCTAGAACAGGCCTCACCCAAGGTGATACCTTGCCATCGGAGCAAAGACCTAAAAGAGACGAGGAAGGAGCTATCCAATTCCCCGGGGCAAGAGCATCCTGCAGCCCAGGCAGAGGGAAAGGCAGGTGCGCAAAAGGCCTGGGGCAAGGGCAGGCCGGGTGCGCTCCAAGATGGGTGAGGAGCCAGAGGGCGGAGGTGGGGGCGGGCAGAGGGAGGTGGTGAGGGCTGAGAGGGGACAGGCGCAGGTTGTGGCAGCCCGTAAAGCCCTGGGGAGACTTGCAGAAGCCCACGGGCAGCCTGCAATAGGTATGCGCAGCGCGAGGGCCAAGAGGCAGCTGAGCTGAAGTAGGGGGAGAGCAGTGCAGAGAGGGTACTGGAAGCCAGGAGGTGGCAGTGTTTTCCCAGCAGGGATAACTCTGCCCCACCATCCCTCCAGATGACCCTGCCTCCTGCTTCTGCTAGGGAAGATGTTACCTGCGCCAGGGAGACTGTGAGGACTTGGGAACGCAGGCCCAGTCCCAGTCCCATCCCTTCCTGTGTGACCTTGGCCACATGGCCCAACCTCTCTGTGGCTCACTGGCGGATAAAAGCACACGCTCCTAGGGCTACTGAAGTTTCAATACCTTAATTCAAACACTCAGAGCAGAACCTAGCTATGCAGGAAACTTGGTAAGTCCAGATCCTTCTGCTGGCCTCACAGGGGGTGTCATCAGGCCTATGGGTAGCAGGCCCCAAGATCAGGACTTCTAGCAAGACAGTATTTGGCTCAAATTTAATACTATTTTTCTGTCTTTACTGCACATTTTTAACATTGTGTTCCCTTTACTGCAAGTAAATGTCTTTTCTTTTAAAAGTCATTTAGAACTTTCTTCTAAAGACAACTTTTAAAAGTTGACATTAATCTAAACAATAAAAAGAGAAGTCGGCTATGTGTCCACTACACCTCAGTAAAGGTGGGAAAAGAAGCAAGTCAGTAACAAAGAGCTGGGCTGGTGTTTCTCAGTAGCAAAGTGGCGGGAGGTAAAATTGCTGGAGAATTCTCAGTTGTCCTTTTTTTTTTTTAAAGATTTTATTTATTTATTTGACAGAGAGAGAGAGAGATCACAGTAGGCAAGCAGAGAGAGAAGAGGAAGCAGGCTCTCCACTGAGCAGAGAACCTGATGTGGGGCTCAATCCCAGGAGCCTGAGATCATAAACTGAGTTGAAGGCAGAGGCTTAACCCGCTAAGCCACCCAGGCGCCCCCTCAGTTGTCCTGTTATCTTGCTCAGGCAGCCCTCCTGGGGGTCAGGATGGTCCAAACACAAACCAAACTTCCATTTCACCCCATCATTACTGGTGAGAACTAGCTGAAAACACGAACTCCACAGGAGGGGGTGGGGGGCATGCCCTTGTCTTCCGAGTGTGCTACACCCTCAGGATCTAAAAAGAATCCTGGATATTGAGTGACCGCCTCCAGAGTGGGAACAACGGCTGTCTTGGGACGGAGTGGTTCAGAGCACAGACCAGCACTGGTTGCTTCTGAGCTCTGCTACTCACCAAATAAGGCCCTTAACACCTCTGTGCCTCAGTGTCCTCCTCTGAAAAATGGCAACACCAACAGCACTACCACCCACCGTGTACTGGAACAGCCAGTGAATCGATGCCCTTAACACACTGAAAAGCTCCTTCGCTGGGAGTAAGAACTTGGGGTGCCACCCGCTCTCACCTATGGTCGCTCGGATGAGCGAGGAGGCATCGCCAATGTTGTTCAGGCACTCCTGCTTGATGAAGTCGGCCACGGGGGGCGGAAAGCTCTGGTAATGTGCCTTCACATTGTTCTTAAGGATGAGACCGCTGAGGGAACGAGTTGGCTCATCTGAGGCAGGAAGGCAGAGGGTCAGGGGAGCACGGAGGAGAAAGAGGGGTCCCACCGGAGTCCGGGGGAGGGCACTGAGAGCATACCTTCTGACTTAAGTCTGGTCAGGACAAAGATCAGGTAGTTGTTGAAGTCGGGAAACTGGTTCAGTTGTTTGAGTTTCTGCCAGGTTGTTAAGGGACTTGGGAGACAAGGGCCTTCCCCAGGTGGGTTCCCTTACTGTCGTGTAGCCAAAAGTCCTTCTGACCACTGGGACTAGGCAGACAGCTCCTGAGACCCACCCGTCAAGTACAGCGCTGCAGGCACACCAGTATCACCAGGCGGGTGGGAGTCAGCAGGCCAGTGGGAGAGCACGCCTCGGCTTCCCATCCACTCTCTCAGACCTGGCTGGAGCAGGAGAGGGTTGCCAGAGCCACTCGGTCCAACCGAGGCAGCAGCTACTCAGTCCTGCTCATAAACAGTCCATGTTGCCTGCTTTTTTAAAAAGGAAAGGGAATCTATGTTTTCAAGTAAAACTTGCTGATAGTTTAAATACCTTAAACTTTAACTTATTAAGTTTAACTATGCATCGCCTGGGAAAAAGAAATGGTAACCACAAACCTAAGCAAAAACTAAGTGCCAGCCCCCTCCCCCACAGGGCCACATTTCCTCTAGAAATGGGACCCAAGAATTCTAATCCCTAATTCTCTGCCAAAGCTAGCTCCTGCCCTAAGAGAGTCTGTGAACTTGGGAATTAGGGAGTCAAGCCCTTTCCCCTGGCCTCCAGGGGCTGCAGATGTCTGCCCTGTTCCCCCTAGACCCGGAAGGAAGGAAGGATACGTCCTGCACGATGCGCTGCGTGGCGGTGTTGGGCGACTGCGAGTCCTTGAGCAGCTGCAGGACCTGCTGCAGACCCTGCTCATCTGGCTGCCAGTCCATGGCGCAAGGTGAGCTGCGGGGGTAGGGGCCGGGGGTCAGCACTGGGTCCCAGGGGCCCCGTGTGAGACCCGGGCTGAGCCCCCGTGGAGGTGGCTGCAGCGGCAGCGCGACGGGAGCGCCCTCGGCGGACAGGCAGAGGCTGCCGATCCACACCGGCCCAAGTGCGGGGTCCCCGCCAGCTGCGCCATCCACGACCGCACAGTCTTGGGCTCGGGAGCGCAGGTGAGGGAATCTGGAAGCGGGCGGAGGGAGGCGGTGGCGGGGGCCGGTGGGGCCTCATCCGGCCTAGCACGGAGCCTTTGTCCCAGGGCGGCCCATGCCGCCTCCTCCGGCTGCGGGCGTTTAAGGCTTCCGCCAGCCTCACGGCCGCCAGGCAAAGCCCCAGCCACCTCTCCATCCAGGGGCCCTGCTCCAGACCGCGAAAGCGCCCCTGTCCCCGCGATCTCCCTGGTCCAGACACGGTCCCCAAAGTGCCCTCTTCTTCCGAAATCCAGCCCTCAAGCTCCGCCAGATCCCAGGCGCCTCCTCCGCCTCGGTCTGGCCCCTGAGCCTCCCAGATGCACGGTCCCAAGGTACTCCAGTCGTCCCGATTTCTGCCACCTCCCCTAATCCGTTCCTCCAAACGGAGCCGGTTGCCAGACGCTCCTCTTTTTGGCCTAGCCAGACTCCATCCAGAGATTCCCCTTAATCGAATCCGAAGCAATCCCGGGACAGGTCCTAGTTGCCTCTCGGAATGAGAGCCTGCCAGACCCGCCACCCTCTGAAAGATGACCCCTGGACAGGTCCCTGTCGCTTTCCCCAATCAGGTCTGGCCAAGTCTCCCCGCCACCACCACCTCCTGCCCTAGTCAGCACTAACTCCTGCTGGCAGGTCTCTGTTGTTTCCCCCAATCAAGTTCGGACAAGGCCCCCACCACCTCGAAGTCGAAACCCACTTCTTCCGATCTCTGCAGCTTCCCTAGTTAGGCCTGGCCGAACACCTCCCGGAGCACTCCCCTCAACGAATCCTAGCGACGCCTGTAAGTCAGACCTAGGAAAGCCATCTGGAACCAAGTCCGACGACCCTCCTTCTCAGGGTCCAAGAAGACCCCCAACTTTTCAATGAGACCTCACCCAACCAGATCCAACCAAAGCCCTGTCGAAATACCCCCCCACACACACACACCCGATCCTCGCGACGTTCCCCAATCAGGCCCTAAGCAGTCCCCAGGCGCTTCCCCCAGATCCCCTCCAGCCCGACCCCAACCTCCCCACTGGCGCGATTCTCTAAGCACCAGGGTCTCGCCCGGCTCCAAGGCCCCGCCCCCTAGCCCCAGCTCGGTTTCCCCCTCCCCCGCCCCAGCCCGTTCTTACTGCCTAGCGAATGGGGCCCAAACCAGGTTCTCGGCCTTTCCCGGTCAGGCGCGGCTCCGACGGCCGGGCCGCGCGCGACACAGATCCAGAGCCCCGGGAGGGTCAACGCAAGCCCGGGCTCAGCCGGTCGGACTTCAGGTAAGGCCCACTTACCCGGCCCCGGGTGGCAGCAGCGGCGCCGTGCGCGGCGGCTTCTCCTGAGACTCCCGCGAAAGGAGGGAGCCAAAGAGAGGGAATGAAAAAAAAAACGCGGCCGTGGATGAACCACGGCGGCTTCCGTACGCCGTTCAAATTGACTCAGCCGAGCCAATCGAAAGGCACAGCCGTAACACGTGGCCCGGCACGGGGGAGACCCAGGCCCCGCCGAAGCCGGGTCACGTGACCGAAGTGTTGGTGGCTCGCCTGGCCTCTCTGGCCGTTCGGTCTTCCCAGCGTCTCGTTTTCTCAGCGTCTCTCACGCCTGCCAGACAGCCGCTTCCTTGCTAGGAGCTGAGTTTGGTGGCGCGTGGGACTTTCGGTATTTGGTGGGCCCGTGAACCTCTCGGCCACAGCCATTTGTGCCTTTCACCCCCTCCTCTACGAATAGAACTGGGCCTTTCCCCGCGCATCCAGAAGATTCCTGAGAATAGCACAGTAGGTGTTCTCAAGGAAAGATCGGAGGGAATTCCTGAGCCTAGCGTGAATATTAGACCCCCAGACACAAAGGAAGGACTAAGCCACACAAAGGGAGTTCCTAGTTCCTGCAGAAGCCTCAGCCACATTTTGTGTATTTATTTTCCAGTACTGTTTGATACTTTTTACAAGGATATGAGAAAAACCCACAAGGTTATAAAATTATAAACGAAATGAATCAACGCTGAAGTGAAAGGCCTAACCTCTTTCCCTACCTGAAGCTGAATGAGCTGAAACAGACCAGGAAATTTAGGGAAGGGCAGGGTCATGGTGAAAGACATCGTAATCCTTGCGCCATCTAAGAACAAAGTAGGGCACCTCTTTTAAGAGTGGAGCAGCAGACGAGGGAGAAGCTAGAGATCCTGGGCCCTCGGTTTCCCCATCTCCTGGCCAGGCTGATAAACAGATAGGCAACCAAAAAAAAGAAGAAGAAGAAGAAGAAGAAGAGGTAACCTAGGGCCACTCGGGAGTCTTAGTTTCCCGGCTAGTCAAATGGGCTTAAGCCTAGTTTGCTGGGTTAGAGATCACCAAGTTAAGCATTACCAAGCCCGCTGCAAACTGTTCTTTGAAAACTTGGCTTTTACCCTGGGAGTCTCAAGGCCATCCTTTCATTGTATTCAGCCACGCCCTAAGCCAATATTTACTGATTTTAATCAACTAGGCCTCTAATCTCCAAGGACAGCCCTGCCTTGAGAAACTTTTTGGCTCCAGGAGTAGCAGGTCAGTTTTTGGTCCAGCCTGAAGGAAGGGGACTGGTTTCTCAGCCAACTTCCCCTTAGCCAAAGTCCGTGCCCCTTTGTTCATTTATGGGAAAAAGATACCTAAGTCCTCTCCTTCCAGCTAGTACTGGGGCCTTCCAGACTTGGGAAGGGTCGGCTGGCGCCTAACGCCAGTCGGAGACTTACTAAAGGAGTAATCGGGTTTTACTTATTAAAACCGAAACCCGGTCGAGAGACACGTGCAGAAAGCGGCCTCTCACGCATGCGCAATGGCCTTCCCGCGCACACCCTGAGGAGCTGGAACTACAAATCCCGTCTCACCGTGCGCCCGCGTCACCGTGCCTACGGATTCTGGCTATGGCTCAAAACCTTGTGGTTCGGAGAAACGCCCCCCTCCACCCCCCACCCCGGCCCACCTCCCTGCTGAAGGTGGGCGTTGAGCTGAAGGAAGAGTGATATTGAGGGACTGGGACTGGAAGTTTCGGGAGGGGGGTGCTAATGGAGTTTTCTGCTCAAGGTTGGGAGTTGCCCCAGATAAGGGTCAGATGGGAAGAGGGCTAGAGATGAGCGAGAGAATTTAATGCTCACCGTCTCCTGTTTATGTGTCAAGTTTCCAGTGGTCCTGCGCAAGCCTCGGGAGCGAAGAGTTAGGCAGAATAAAGAGACCCCTGCTGCCTTTGTGGTCCACGATACTAGCCCTCGTATAATCACAAAAGTCTTTCTTCCTACTCCCAGCTAGTGGATTTAAGTTCCGAATCCAGGCTTTTCCCCCATTTCTTTTACTTTACTTTTGTTTTTAAAGTAGGCTCCATGCCCAGTGTGAGGCTTGAACTCACGGCCCTAAGATCAAGAGTTACATGCTCTACCGACTGAGACAGCCAGGCACTTCATATCCCTATTTCTTAAGCACCTACTTTACTGCCTATCTTAACAGCCCTGTACACAGCAAACTTACTCCAAACTAGAAGTGCTCAGTACAAAAAAAAATCAAGGAGCCGGTGCCCAACCGTGAATCTGAGATGGGAGACAAAGTCCTCTCCGTTTACAACAGCCTCCCTGTCCGAGCATCTCTTCACAAGGCACCCACGTTTAAAGGTCACCATTTCTCAAACAGGTCCCCCAACCCAAGCCAATTGCTTCACTTGGAAAAACAATGACAGCTGTTTTAAATAATGTCAGGGTTAATGTTGACTTCAATATTGCCGTTATTTTAGAACTTGACTGTAGAGATGCTTCCGTATTCTACCCCTCTTATTTATTTAAGAAGGTGAGAGAGAGAGAGAGAGCACACAAAGGGAGAGGGAGAAGGATAAGCAGACTCCCTGCTGAGCACGGAGCCAGATGTGGGGCTCTATCCCAGGACCCTGGGATCGTGACCTGAGCTGAAGACAGACACTTAACCGAATGAGCCACCAACGCACCCTTACCCCTGTTTTAGACATGAAGAACTTAAAACACAGAAAGGCTGTTACTTACCCAAGATCACGCCAACTAACAGGCACCAGAATAGTTTGAAGCCGCAGCCGTGCCACTCACCAAACCCTGAATTCGATTGTCCTCCCCTTCAGACTTTCCCCGGGTCAGGACGGGTGAATGTAGTGAAGGGGGATGCTGGGACTCCATCAGCTCCTCCTGCCTCCTGACACTCCAGAAAAGAGGCTGAGCTGCTGCAGGGGCGACCTACTTCTCCCACTTATGTTTCTTTTTAAAGATCCAGCGGCTGCTGGTGCCTTTGAGGAAGGAGGTAAGGGTGGCACATTGGCTGCCTATGTCCCCTCCCCCAACACTACATCCCCAAGGCTAAAGTTACACCTGGGCCAGTTCACCATCCCCAAAGTAGGAGGGAGAGAACTTTGAGCCAATGTAGAAAATATTAAATCAGACAAGCCTAAGTGTATTAACCAGAAATGAGAGGGGCAGGTCTCCTGTTCCAAAGCCTGCTTGTACTTTTCTCTTTAACAAGCCAGGCCATCTTTCAGCTCAGGGTCTTTGTACGTGTTCCTTTGGCCTTGAATACCTCCAAGGATCATCTTTTTTTTTTTTTTTTTTTTTAAGATTTTATTTATTTATTTGACAGAGAGAGATCACAAGTAGACAGAGAGGCAGGCAGAGAGAGAGAGAGAGAGGGAAGCAGGCTCCCTGCCGAGCAGAGAGCCCGATGCGGGACTCGATCCCAGGACCCTGAGATCATGACCTGAGCCGAAGGCAGCGGCTTAACCCACTGAGCCACCCAGGCGCCCCCCAAGGATCATCTTTAATGCCTTCAGAACTTAGGAGAAGTGTTACCTTCTTAAGGAGGCCATCCCTGATCAACTTGAAATTGCCGTCTCTCCCATTGATCTTAGTTCCCCTTTCATACCTCCCCCCCCACCCGCCATAGAATGTATAACCGTTTGATGTGTTCTGTGTTCTATTTTGTTTCCTGTTTGCTTCCTCAACTAGAATGTTAGTCCCACTGAAACAAGGAGTTTCGCCTGTTTTGGTGCTTAGTATTTGGAATGCCTCACCCAATTTCCCATAGGCCGGAGCTGGCAGTCTGAGGCCAGGTGGGTACCATACTACCTCATCTGTCCTCCCTCTGCCTACTTGGGTCTCAGGTACCTCATGGCCACCATGATCCTCCTGATGGACAGGGATGGGAGCCTGAATCTGGGATGAGCAGGGGTGGCAAGCTGCTCGGCATTCCTGCATGGGAAGGTCTGGGAGGTGAGCCCATGACTGGGGGACCCACATGTGGCTCCAGGTCTAGAAGATTTGAGAAGGGAGATTTGGGAGGCAAGGACCTCTTAAAACATTTGTGGGCTCAGTGGGGGAACAGGCAGTTAGGCAGTTTCCAGGATGGCCCAGAAGTATAAGGAGCACTAAAGGGGCACTAGGGAAGTCAGGCTTCCCTTAAACACCCCGTCCCCTGACATGTCAATAATCATGTTCTGCAAGGTGGTGTTTGTGCTCCTTCTGATCATATATTATACACAAGGGTGGGGTCAACCGAGCCTCACTGGAGAGGCTGCAAGTGCAACCCCACCAAATCCAGATCCCAGCCCTCCTCACCTCAACCACCCACACTCTACCACCTCCCCCCCCAAATCATGGCCCAGCCTCATCTCCAAGTTCTGCCCCAGCAGCCAGAGGGGGCCTGTTAAGACAGAGAACACATAACCTATTGCTCCTTAGCTCATACTGCCCCCGCAACAACGAAGACTTCCTCTTACCAAGAATGAAGTCCCAAATCCTGACCCAACATACAAGGCTGTGTATATAATCTACACCCTATCCTCTTTAGGTCCAGTTATGTGGGCCACCTTGAAGCTCCCCACAAAGGCCACCCATTCTCCCACCTGTTTTTACACTGGCTGTTCCCTCCCACCTGCTTCCTCACCTCCCTAAGGACTCAGATCAGATGTCAGGGGAAATAGACAACTTTCGCCTAGCTTCTACCCTGTATTTCTTCCCAGTCACCTCCCAAAATGGCTTCCCCTTTTTGTTCGTTTCCTTCCAGAAGGGCAGGGAGTGTACATGGTCTGTTCTTTTCACTCTTATGGCCCCAAGGTCCAGAAGAGCACAGGCACACAGTAGGCATTCATCAAGTGTCAGCTGAATGAAGAAACGGACAGTTCTGGCCCGGCCAAATGGGGCTGTGATGGGGCCTGAGCATGAGCAGCAACACTGGGGCTCTGTCAGGGGTAGGGGCAAATGGGTCCTGAGGAGTCTCATCACCAACAGGAGGGGGTGCACCCCTGTCTGCCCCACACCCCTAAATAAACCCCTCACCAATCAAGACCCAGGACCAGGGGTAGAACCAGGCAATGGGAGGAGGGAGTGCTTCGGGTGGAGAACAAAGAAGGCAAACCAAGCACACAGCTCCGGCACTAAGTCAAGTTCTTTACTTCCCAGAAGTGATGGCTAAGGAGGGGTGGGGTGGGGTTGGGGTGAGGAAGACAGAAAGAGCCAGAGAGAGCGAGGAGGTGGGAGGAGAGGGGACAGTAAACCACTGTTCTCTAAGTCTCAGGAGGCAAGTGCTCAAGGTAAAAAAGAGTCCTGGAGAATCATCCGCGGCTGCGGAAAGCGTCTCGATTTCCTTCTGTGTAGAAGTCCTTGGGGGGAAAGGCTGCCGCCGCTGCCGCTGCATTAAATAGTTATGTACATCGCAGAGAGTCCCAGGCCATAGGCAGGCGGGGGAAGGGGGTCATTTCACCAGGGGCCGAGTTTTATCGTCATCGCCACACTGATGGGCTTTGTACTTTTTCACCTCTGCCATGTACTTGGCCCACGCGTCACCTTTACTTGTTAATACCTGTGGGTGGGGAGGGGGGCATATAGGGGTTGCAAGGGGATACCAAGACGGCCAGGAACTAGGGTCAGGACTGTCCTGAGACAGCTGACCTCCCCCCACACACACACCCTGCATCACCCTTAAGGTCCTGGGTTCAAGGTAAAGATATGCAGACTCAGTTTTTCTGGGGATCCCGTTGAAAGCCTCCTCCCCCACCCAGTCCCTGCATCCAAGGCCCCGGGAGCTGGACAGAGAGGGAAAGGGCTCAGCAGCCAGGCTAAGGCTGGAAGGGAAAGATGCCGCGGGGGGGCCCCCACAGCCAGCCTGCTCACCTCATCCTCCGTCTTCTGCTTCTTGGCTACTATTCCCGTCTTGAGGGCTAGTTTGTTTCCGCCTCTGCGCTTGCCCACCTGGGTGAAGGGACAGAAGACTGCAACGGTTACAGGAGCCGGGCCCGCCCTTGGCGGCGCTGAGGCCCACTACAACTTCCTAGCCCGGCCCGGTGGCCCGTCCCGACGCCGCGCCCAGCTCCGCCAGCCGGCCAACCTGCGCAGCAATCAGAGAGGAGCACACGCGATTCTTAGCGCCTGCCCTGGGCCCATGATGCCCTGGCAGTCGTGGGCCCCTGGGCTGCCCTCCCCAAAAGCAAGAACCCCCCCCCACACAGGCTGTCCTCTCTCTCCAGGCCGAACCCTCACCCTCCCCTAGCAGGGACCACACAGTCAGCAACAGTTCCCTTTACTGAGCACTCACTGTATGCTAAGCTCTGTGCCAAGTACTTTCGATGTATCATCCTTCACTTTCACAGCTGCCCAAAGAGGAAGGTTACAACCATCCCCATTTTGTAGATGAGGGAACACCTTTGAGAAGGAAGAGGGGCTATCCCTGGTTGGCAGCAAACAATGGAACTGGATTCAGGGTCAGATGGGTCCAAGCCACAGAGCAGTATCCTTACCCACCAAATGACACTGTCTCCCCTGCACCAAACCTGGCCTGTTTAAGAGTGCCCCTTGGTGAAGAAAAGAAAAAAATCAGTGACAACTACTGCTACTCCCAATCACAAAGGGTCACTCAGCCTCCACCTCTGGTTCTTAGACCAAGCCAAGAACCTAGGTCCTGACACACTCTCTTCCGCCAACGTAAATCTCACCCCAGACCTCATCCTAGTCCTCCTTCTCCCACCCACTGAGCATTTTGTGTCCACAGGCAGCAACAGTCTTCACAGGCTTCATCCCATCTCTACCCCTCCGCCAGGCATCAAGTAACCTGTGCTGCTGGGACTATCCCCACTCACTTTTAACAATGAAGAAAATGAGGCTTAGAGAAGTTAGATCACTTGCCCAAAATCACACTGTTAGCGCTAAGACCTGACCTCCAGTCTGTTACTCTCAAGTCAACACTTTTCTCCACACCACAGGGACTTGACCTCTGAAAAAATTAATATCTGGGCTGTGAATTAGCTACTTTTTCTTTTATTTCCCCCCTTTTTTCTTTCTTTTGGTTGTTAAAGAAACTTTTAAGTATGTCTTTTTTTTTTTTTAAACAGGCTGTACACCCAACATGAGGTTTGAACTCTAGACCCTGAGATCAAGAGTCGCATATTCTACTGACTGAGCCAGCCAGGTATGTTCATGGATTCCATCTCAATACCAGAAACAAAGCAAGCTCAGAGTGGACCATCAATACAGTTGCCATTTATTTAGCCTAGAATTTCTTGACCTCACACTGGTGGCATTTTGAACTGGATCATTTCTGCGGGCAGGGGGCTATCCTGTGCATTGTAGAACGCTGAGCAGCATCTCTAGCCTTTACTCAGAGATGTCAACAGCACCCCTCCCCCAATTCTGACAACCAAAAATTTCTCCAGACTGCCAAACTGAAGGGGTTTGGGAGGGAGGGGTGTTCATTCCCAACTAAAAGCTACTGGTGGTTTAGCCCCTTCTATAAAACAAAGCCAGTACTAACCTCCGGGATGGCCTTACAGAACCCTCAGCACATCACAAGATGCGATGGTAACCATATTTGCAAATGGGAAAATTGAGGGTAGGCCAGCCCAGACACTCCAGGAAAGCAAGGATCTTGTCATGGTCAACACGGCACATCCAGCACCCAGAACAATGCTCAGCATAAGGTATGGTGCTCAATAAATGGACACTGGAGGAATGAGACTCAGGGAAATAGAGCAAATTTCCTAAGGTCACACAGGAAGCTCTGAGTCTCCAATCCACACAGCTCAGATTCCAGATTTGAATTTGCCCCTCTTCCCCATAGTGGGAGATGGTCCCAGTACCCAAGTTTAAGTACCACTCAAATAGGAATCCCGGTATCCTGATTTCCCCATCCCCGGAGCGCTGTTTCGAATGCAATTCCCTGGCTCCCGGTCCCCGCGGGCGGGCGGGCTCAGGGGGTCCCCACCCCCGCCCCCAGACCTCTCGTCGAGAATCCAGGTTCCGGATCCTCAGCGGGCGACCGGACGACCCTCTCACCGGGGCCGGAGGGTGGACCCGGATCCCGATACCCTTTCTCGGGCCCCGATTCCCTCTGCCAAGGCAGGCCCTGGCGCCCGCCCCCACCCCCGCGGCTCCTTACGAAGCTGAGCGTGGGGCCCGGGCCGCTCTTCCTCTTCAGATCCCCAGGGCCCGCGGCGGCAGCGGCGGCAGCAGGCTGGTCGGGTCGCGGCAGGCCCGGGGGCGGCTCCTCCTGCCGCTGCCGCTGCTCCTCCTCCATCTTCCGCTTGAACAGCTCCAGGAAGCTGCCGTCGTTGGCGAACAAGTTCACACCGCCCGACACTGGGCTAGAACCCGCGCCCGACGCTTCCTCGTCCCCGCTCTCGGGCGACGTCCCGGGCCCCGACTCAGCCCATCGGCTCCCGACGCCGCCGCCGCCTGCGGGGCCCGGCGCCTCCCGGCCCGGAGGCTCCGCCCGTCTCCCTCGGGCAGCCATTTTGTCGCCAGGTGCCGCGCAAAGGACTCCGGGAAGGCGGCTCCGGCCCGGCGCTTGGCGCCCGACTTGCCCTGTCCCGGGCAATGCATGCCGGGAAAAGCGGTCTGGCCCTCCAGCGTCCGCAGCAGGGGCGGAGTATAAGGGGCGGGGCGAACAAGGGGGTAAAACCTGACGCCAAGGGCCCGCCCAGCCAGCCACGCGGATTTTTATAATCCAGGTAGAATTGGGCAGGCGTTAAACGCAGTCTCCCCGGGAAGGGAACCATTGTCTGGGCCTGGGACTGTAGCTGGCTCTCCGGAGTGAAGTTCCCACTTGAAACTGGGAGCACATTACCTTTCCGGGGCTCCCTTCTTGCACTAGAGATAATCTCCCTTCTGGCCCCAGCGTTAATCTCTGTGAGGGAAAGGACCCCGTCTGAGAGTGTGTGTTCAACTGACCTCGAAACCGAGGTCCCGAACTCGGTCTAGAGGGCATATCTAGGCTAAGCGCACACCACCCCGAATAAAAATGGGGATGTCTCTGGTTTGGTTGGGTACCTGCCTCTGGAACGGAGCTCTCATTTGGGAATGGCAGTACAGCTGGCTTAGTGGAGGTGGGGTCCCCACCTGAAAATAAGGATGTTATGGGCTGAAGTGCTCAAAAAAACTCGCCGGAATTTTTTTTTTACTATAGTCTATCTAAGGTTAAGAGTGTTCGCCAAAGGCCTGGGACCCCGCGGTATTCCTGCCCAGGACAGAGGTTCAAACAGAATTCGCGGAATCTCCCCTCGAACAGAGAGCAAAGTGAGAGAAGGCTTCCGGGAATAGGGTCCCTTCTGCGACGAGGAGCGCAATTGCAGGTGTGGTCTCTGCCCTGGCCTGCCCAGCATGGGGCTCAGGGTGCCCTGGACGAAGATCTATGGACCTCACCCAAAACCAGAGGAACTCTCCCTCTAGCCCAGTTGCGGTCCAGGGACCTGTCTTCGGCCAACGAATCGGTTTGTCTGTGATTGGTTTGCGTCAAGAGCCAGGTGGCTCACAGCCAATTGGATAGCAGAAGAGACGGACCTGAGGCGAGGTTGGGACCCAATTTAGAGAATAAGGACAAATGATCGACATGAAGTTGAACCTATGGAGTCAGGCCAGGGCGGACCTCGGATCTAACTTCATGGAAAGGGCATGGACAGGGTGTTTGGCTGGTTGCTAAGGAGAGGATGGCGGCTACCGGAACGTAAGACTGATTGGTGAAAGTGAGAAAAAATGTAGCCAATGAAAGAAGAGCTGAGAGACTTGGGAACCAGTCAGAGAAGGGGAGTAGTCTGAAAAGTACCAATAAGCTAATTCGGCAGGGGGAGTCTCTGAAAAAATTTAGACAAGAGGGCGACAAAGTGAATCCTAGAAAAGAAAGACATTGGAAATATAGCTTCTGTTACCTCCTAAAAGTCAGGCCATGAGGAAATTAATTCAGGCTCCTGGACTTGATGGGTATGTGCTAGGCAATTTCCCCTGTAGGTTCTTTTCATGGTGCGCTCCGCTTGATCACGTGAGCCGGTTCCAAGATGGCGGCAGGGGTGGCCGGGTGGGGGGTTGAGGCAGAGGAGTTCGAGGATGCGCCTGATGTGGAGCCGCTGGAGCCCACGCTTAGCAACATCATCGAGCAGCGCAGCCTTAAGTGGATCTTCGTCGGGGGCAAGGGTGGCGTTGGCAAGACCACCTGCAGGTAAGGAAGCTGCGGCGGGGGCCTGGAAGACGGGTGGGATGTACCACCGGGCGAAGGGGAGGAGGCTCCGGAATGGCTCTTCCACCCCAAGCCAAGCAAGCGGGCTGGACCGGGGCCTCCCAGATTGTACTCCCAGAAGTTACCTGGGGCAAATGGAAGATATTGCCTGAATGCAGGCTTGGAACCCTCTGATTTGGACCGCCCCCGTTGCGGCTCAAGGGCAGACCCACATTGAACCCAGCGCACGGGAGCCAGGAGAGCACTTAGGTGTCCCAGTCAGCTGGACCGTACCAGAGTGAGCTCGGAGTAGGGGGAGGGGCAAACTATCCTAGTCGGGCGAACCTTGACATTCTCTGGCCACGTGGGGGTAGAGGTGGTAGGCGGGAGGGGAGGCACGTGATTAGACCATTCCTGTCAGCTGGGGAGGGGATTGGAGTCCCTGGGGCAAATTATCCTGAACCCTCCTGAATTTAGCGGGCGATGCAAAGGACCCTTTAGCTTAGCGTTTAGGGAGGGGGTACAGGGTCAAGCCAGGCTGGCTGGACAGCTGAACCGTGCCACTCTGTGCCAACAAAGAAGCAGCGGGCACCAGGCCAGACCAACTCAGACAGCTGAACTTTATCACTGTAGACACCCAGAGGGGTCAGTAGGTGAAATCTGAGAGGGTCCCTATACAGGGATTAAGTCTTGATTCCACAATTACCCATATTCTTTCCCAAGGCCCCTGTCAATCCGGATCCCCTGCTCCTGGGCCCTCTATAACCCCTTGCAGACCTAGGGAGCAGACCCGGACCCCTCACTCCCTGCCTTTTGAACTTTCCCTTGCCTAGCTGCAGCCTAGCAGTCCAGCTGTCCAAGGGGCGGGAGAGTGTTCTGATCATTTCCACGGACCCAGCCCACAACATCTCTGATGCATTTGACCAGAAGTTCTCCAAGGTGCCTACCAAGGTTAAAGGCTATGACAACCTCTTCGCCATGGTGAGTGGAGCCGGGCTCAGCTCCCCACTCTGGCAAAGGCCCTTCAGGCTCTCTCTGTGAACACCCACCATCAGCTACCATGTCCTGCATGTTCTCCATCATCCCTCAACATACCCACAGGACAACAATCGATGAATGTTTGCAGAACAGAAAGGAGGATGGCGTGACCAGAGTTTAGTGAACGAGGGGAGGGAAGGAGATATCATAGGTCAATCACAGCTACATGGTACGGATCTTTTAGGCCACTGGGAACAGCTATGTTTGATTCCAAGTTTAATAGGAAGGTGTTCATTTTAAGTAGGCCAATCATGGCCAAATTCATTTTTCAGAAGATTCCCTATGGCTGCCATGCAGAGAAACTCAGGTGGGGGCGGAATGCTGGGAGAAGTGGTCAGGGGAGGAAGACGTAGTGGGCTCCAGCAGGCACATCAGATCTAGAGGGACCACTCTGGGAGTGGGCGCAGAAGCCTGCCCAGAGTGAGTGAGCTGAGGAATGGAGACAGTGATCGCCATCATGGCAACTGAGAAATAGGGCCATTGCTGGAGGCAGCTGGGGGTGGGTGTTGTTACGGAGGCTTTTCTTGGGGGGGAGGGGCTGGAGAAAGGAGATGCTGGAGCATGTTTGCTGATGCAAATCCTCCAACAGGAAGGGACAAGTGAGGCTGCGGGAGGGAGCAAGGATGCTGGCAGAGAATGGTCCTCAGGCAGGTCGGTGGGTGTAAATTTCATTCAGCTCTCAGACTCAGGACATGGAGGCAGGGCAGGGTGGGAGACACTGGGACCTTTCCTGTGGGGAGATAAGAGTGTTGGCAGCCAGTGGCTTCTTTTTCCAATCAGGCACAGCACTGGTCTTAGCAGAGAGCAGGGGGTGAATGGGATGGATAGGGTTTAAGGAGAAAGAAGAAACTCCTGAGGGTGTGTCTGGCTCGAGTGCCTGTTGGAATGGGGACCAATGTGAGAAGTGTTTCTCAGGTGCGTTCCCCAGCTGTTCACCTCAGTGCAGCCATCCCAGAGAGCTAGGAACAACGAGAGTGGGGATGTTGCCAGCCACAGGGCAAAGTAGGCACCCTGTGGAGCCCAGGCTGAATAAGGGTGCCAGCCACAAGGGACACTGACAGTGAACAATGGGGACAAGATGGCCCAAATAGGTAGGAGGCAAGGAGGCCCAGGTCACAAAGTGAGGGGTGGGAGCTTAGAGGTGGCCCAGTTACTGGCAATAACCCATCAAGGGTGTGACTGTCGGGGGTGGTGGGTGGCAAGCTCCCTGCAGGGAAATGACCCCTGAGGCCAGCGAGTTGGGGGCTTCACCATGGGACGTGTGAAGTCCCCAAGAGCTGACATGGGAGGAGGATGAAGAGAGAGGCGCCGAGTCCAGGGCAGACCAGACACCCCGGGGACAGTCGTCCCTTCATGGCTTCCACATACATGTAGAGGGCCCGCTATGGGCCAGACACTCTGGGTGCCAGGGACACAGCAATAAACACAGAAAAACCCCTGTCTTCACAGTGCTGACAGCTGATAAAGGTGATAAACGTGATGAGTCAACCATATGAGGAGGGGTGGGGGCAGCTGGGGCGACATTATTAGATGGGATGGTCAGGGAACGCTCTTGTTAGAGAAATGATCTGCACAAGGTCAGGGCCCCAGTTGGGGAAACAGCCAATGCAAGGGCCCAGCCATGGGCTTTGACTTCCCTCTGGGGCACTGATCACAGTTTACAGTTTTCCATTTGTTTGTGAAACGGTTTGGCCACTTGTGTGACCACATGGGACCTGAGGGGCCGGGGGAGGGCCGTAGCACCTCAGGGGTATCCCCAGCGATGAACTGACGGGGAAGGTTGGCATTCGGGGCCCTTTGTGGGCTCTCTCGCCTGCCGCCTGGGTGAGAAGGCCTGACAGGAGCAGCAGCCTGAGTCTTGACCCCTCGGCCCTCAGGAGATTGACCCCAGCCTTGGCGTGGCTGAACTGCCTGACGAGTTCTTCGAGGAGGACAACATGCTAAGCATGGGCAAGAAGATGATGCAGGAGGCCATGAGCGCCTTCCCCGGCATTGATGAGGCCATGAGCTACGCAGAGGTCATGAGGTCAGGCCCGGGCAGCAGGGGCGGGCGCCGCCTGGGGCTGGGGTGGAACGGGGCAGACAGGCCTGACCCTCGTCTCCCCCACAGGCTGGTGAAGGGCATGAACTTCTCGGTGGTGGTGTTTGACACGGCGCCCACAGGCCACACGCTGAGGCTGCTCAACTTCCCCACCATCGTGGAGCGGGGCCTAGGCCGCCTCATGCAGATCAAGAACCAGATCAGCCCCTTCATCTCACAGGCAGGCAGGGCCCCAGGGCTGCCGGGCACCCCCGTGTCAGAGTGTGCGGACGAGCAGTAGCAGAGGCCTTCCCCACACACGCCCTCTCAGTCCGCGGTTCCCCGTGGTGGGATGGCTCTTTCCCGTGGGGGTGGAGGGAGACTGTCCACCTAGTCCATAGGATTTGTGTCTTGCCCCTACCCACAGAGTGCTCCAGGCAGAGCTTGGAGACCCCTCCTCCTGAGCCAGGTGGCTCTGGGCCTCCCCTTCCTTGTCTGTCAAATGGAGGCCATACATGGGTTATTATTAGCATGACAACCCCAATGCCCCCACATTTCAGCACACCACCCCGCTCCCCCTTGGTGGTGTGTGGTCCCCCTACAGGGACTTGTGCCTCAGTACCACAACTGTTGGAGGAAAGGTCTACCTGTGAGAAAACTGAGGCTTCAGGAAGTCAAGCCCTCTGGCCACAAGCCCCCAGAAGTGCCAGAGCTGAGGTCACCCCGGTCTGCTTGAGGGCCTTTAACTCCAGGAGGTGTCAGAGGTTATTTACTGGTATTTACTGCGTCCCCAACCTGCATGCTGTAAGGCATCCCAGGTAAGCTGTGAGCCCCCCTGCCCCACAGATGTGCAACATGCTGGGCCTAGGGGACATGAACGCAGACCAGCTGGCCTCCAAGCTGGAAGAG